GCTCGCGCCTCAGCTTACCGCCCGGCCCGGCGCCGGCTCCACGGGGCCACCTGCCGGGAAGCGCGGGCCGCCGACCCCAGGGCCGGTGAGTGCATCCGCGAGGCGCCCGACTGGGACCTCAGGACCCCCTGACTGGACCCCGGGACCCCAGACTGGACTCCGGGACCCCTGACTGAGACCCCGGGACCCCTGACTGGACCCCAGGACCCCTGACTGGACTCCGGGACCCCCTGACTGAGACCCCGGGACCCCTGACTGGACTCCGGGACCCCTGACTGGAACCCCGGGACACCTGACTGAGACCCCGGGACCCCTGACTGGACCCCGGGACACCTGACTGGACTCCAGGACCCCTGACTGAGACCCCGGGACCCCTGACTGAGACCCCGGGACCCCTGACTGGAACCGCGGGACCCCTGACTGGACTCCGGGACCCCTGACCGAGACCCCAGGACCCCTGACTGGACTCTGGGACCCCTGACTGAGACCCCGGGACACCTGACTGAGACCCTGGGACCCCTGACTGGAACCCCGGGACCCCTGACTGAGACCCCGGGACCCCTGACTGAGATCCCGGGACCCCTGACCTGGACCCCGGGACCCCTGACTGGACTCCGGGACCCCTGACTGGACTCCAGGACCCCTGACTGGACTCCAGGGACCCCTGACTGGACCCCGGGACCCCTGACTGAGACCCCGGGACCCCTGACTGAGACCCTGGGACCCCTGACTGGAACCCCGGGACCCCTGACTGGACTCCAGGACCCCTGACTGGACCCCGGAACTTCTGACTGGAACCCTGGAACCTCTGACTGGACCCCGGGACCCCTGACTGAGACCCCGGGACCCCTGATTGGAACCCCGGGACCCCTGACTGAGACCCTGGGACCCCTGACTGGAACCCCGGGACCCCTGACTGGAACCCCGGGACCCCTGACTGGAACCTCGGGACCCCTGACTGAGATCTCGGGACCCCTGACTGAGATCCCGGGACCCCTGACTGGGACCCCGGGACCCCTGACTGGACTCCGGGACCCCTGACTGGACCCTGGGACCCCTGACTGGACTCCAGGACCCCTGACTGGATTCCGGGACCCCTGACTGGACCCCGGGACCCCTGACTGGACTCCGGGACCCCTGACTGGAACCTTGGACCCCTGACTAGACCTCAGGACCACTGACTGGGACCCTGGGACCCCTGACTGGACCCCAGGACCCCTGACTGGACCCACGGGACCCCTGACTGGACCCCGGGGCCCCTGACTGAGACCCCGGGACCCCTGACTGGAACCCTGCGACCCCTGACTGGACCCCGGGGCCCCTGACTGGACCCACGGGACCCCTGACTGGACCCCGGGGCCCCTGACTGGACCCCAGGACCCCTGACTGGAACCCTGCGACCCCTGACTGGAACCTCAGGACCCCAGACTGGACCCCCGGGACCCCTGACTGGACTCCGGGATCCCTGACTGGACCCCAGGACCCCTGACTGGACTCTGGGATCCCTGACTGGGACCTCAGAACTCCGGACTGGAACCTCAGAACCCTGTACTAGACTCCGGGACCCCTGACTGAGACCCCAGGACCCCTGACTGGACCGTGGGACCCTTTACTGAGACCCTGGGACCCCTGACTGGAACCTCAGGACCCCTGACTGGACTCCGGGACCTCTGACTGGACTCTGGGACCACTGAATGGGACCTCAGGACCCCTGACTGGGACCCCGGGACCCCTGACTGCACTCTGGGAGTCCGACTTGGACTTCAGGACCCCTAACTGGACTCCGGGACCCCTGACTGGACTCCGGGACCCCTGACTAGGACTTCAGGACCCCTGACTGGACCCCGGGACCCTGACTGGGACTCTGGGACCCCTGACTGGACTCCAGGACCCCTAACTAGACCCTGGGACTCCTGACTGGACCCCAGACCCCTGACTGGACTCCGGGACCCCTGACTGGAACCTCAGGAGCCCTTACTGGGAGCCTGGGACCTCTGACTGGACCCCAGGAGCCCTGACTGGACTCCAGGACCCTTACTAGACCCCAGGACCCCTGACTGGACCCCGGACCTCCTGACTGGACTCTGGGACCCCTGACTGTACCCTGGGACACCTGACTGGACTCCCAGGACCCCTGACTGGAACCCCAGGACCCCGACTGTATTCCCAGACCACTGACTAGACCCCAGGACCTCTGACTGGACCCTAGAACCCCTGACTGGACCCCGGGAGCCCTGAATGGACTCTGGGACCCCTGACTGGAACCTCAGGACCCCTGACTGGACCTCCATGACCCCTGACTGTACTCCATGACCCCTGACTGGGACCCTGGGACCCCTGACTGGACCCCGGGGGCCACCAGCCCAGGACCCCTGACTGAGACCCTGGGGCCCTGACTGAGACCCCTGGGACTCCTCTCTGGGACCCCCGGGGACCACTACCCGGAACCCTGTCCCCAGACCCAAAGGAGAACCTATGGAGCAGCCGAGGTAGGAACCTACAACCCCAGCCCTCAGCCCAGACTTGGGTTGCAATCCATCATGTGAGCTGCTTCAGTTCTATTTTCTGTCCTAACCTCAAATCCACCTCTGGAATCTTTCCTTGTGCACCGACGATGGCTTTAACCTATACACATTCTGGATATTTACTGAATATTTAGATTCTAGTCCTGTCAGTATTAATTAGATATTTAAATGCTCCTTTGGATCCTCCTACCAACTCAATGGGGTGGGGTAGGGCCTTCATTTACAGATGAGGAAATGGAGGCATGGAGAAGTTAAATTGTTGTGTGTGTGTGTGTGTGTGTGTGTGTGTGTGTGTGTGTACAGGTATGTGCATGTACCTAGGGCTTAAACTTCAGACCTGAGTGCTGTCCCTTAGCTTTTTTCACTCAATGCTGACATTCTACCACTTGAGCCACACCTCCACTTCTGGCTTTTTGGTAGTTAATTGGAGATAAGAGTCTCATGAACTTTCTTGCCTAGGCTGGCTTTTAACCCCAGTCCTCAGATCTCAGCCTCCTGAGCAGCTAGGATTACAGGTGTGAGCCACAGTGCCCTACTGAAATTACTTTTGAATGGTCGGGGAGGATTGGCTTTGAACTTCTTACCCTGGGAGCTCAGGCACAGTACTCCCTACAGGAAGTGAGGGGTGGTGACGCCAGTTAGGTAATACCGCTGTTTTGGTTAATCTGTTTCACAAATCTTGAAATGGTCCATTGGTCATTTCTCTGGGAAGTTGAGAAATAGCCCACTAATGTGGTCACACCCTTCCTCAGTCCCAGCCCCAGCCCTTGGAAAGCCTCACTCTGGGTAGCTGCAGCCATGGGAGCAATAGCTGCTCAGTGAGGTAGAGTGAAGGACAGGAAGCCAGCGGAAGCTGCAAGATAACACAGGTGGTCAGAGGGAATGATTTATCAGCTGAGGTGCCAGTGCTGTCTGTCCACCACTCACAATGGCTGCTGTGAGAGGTGACTGGCAGTCCTCAGCTTGCAATGGCTGCTGAGTTCAAGATTTCTTAGCTTTACAGTGGCAGGAGAGCAATGTGTGACGTTTTTGAGTTGGGATCTTTTCCTGAACTGGCGAGGTATGCTGGGCAGAGCAGCGAGCCCCCCCTCCGGCCCTCATCTTCACCTCGTCTTGTGGTCAACAATGGAGCCCTGTTGTTTTGCTGAGCCCCGTGTTTGGTGGGGCAGTATGGGGACATTAAGTGCAGCTATGCAGTGGGCTGTAGGGGTGGACCCCCTTCCAGGGGGAAGGAAGGCAGGGAGTATGGGAGCCCTTTGCTTCTCTGGGCATGCACCAGGCCCTCCCGAAATGTCTGTGCCTGAATTCAGACCTCTTGAATCTGAGTAGTTTAAAGAATAGATTGGAATTGGAATTAAGTCGTAGTCATTGTATGTACACTTCGGAGGCACAGTGTGACATTTCAACGCCTGTGCACACTGTGTAATGGTCAGGTCAGAGTCAGGGGCAGAGCCATCGCGCTAGAACAACAGCTTCTCATTCTTATTTTTGCGGTGCTGGGGATCAAAGCCATGGCCTTCTGTTTTGGGCTTTGGGTGAATGTGAAACCAAGGCCCCTTCAACTTTCCTGTGCCCATAAGCAGCCCCGAACTTGTTAAAGGGCAGATTCTGCCTCAGTAGATAAGGTGGGTCTCCCATGAGAGGGACACTCAGACTGTGGCCCAGTTTTGAGTTGTGAGGTGGCTGGGCATGCAGATGGAGCACAGATGTTAACTTACACAGAGACAAGTTTGTGAGATGGCAGCCTATTTGTTTTCTTGTGAAACTTGAGCTACCGTAATTTCTGAATTGTAAAAGAAAGATTTAAGCTTTCTTTTTTAAAAAAAAAGAAAAGAAAGAGCAGGGCGCTGAGAGCTGAGATTCACAATTCAAAGCCAGCCCAGTCAGGAAAGTCCATGAGACTCTTATCTCCAATTAACCACCAGAAAAACCAGAAGTGGAGCTGTGGCTCAAAGTGGTAGAGTGCTAGCCCTGAGCAAAAGACTTCAAGCCTGAGTTCAAGCCCCACGACCAATCATAAAAGAAAAAGAAAAGGGTATATTTTACATGAATACAACTATGCTCTATGAAAATATCTCATCCAGAATTCATTTTTTAATTGGCTTTGGAATGTATTATGTAAGTTTTTGGCAGGGTGCTCACCTTCCTAATTATGAGTTGCTTTTTTTTTTTTTTTTAGTAATGTTGAATCAGCTTGCTGGAGTCCACTGGAACACACACACTAATTGAGGGTGAGGGTACTGACCTGGAAGTGTATTTCAGATTGGAGGGCAACCTCCTGGCCTGACCTGGAAGTGTATGAATACATGCTTTCCTCACATTGTTCAGACAGCTCTCTAGGCTTTCCTCTGCATTTACCTATGCGTCAGCTCTTCCTGCCAAGTTACTACCCTTGATGAACTGAGTCACAGGGTTGCTTAGGGTCCTTTAGAACAAGGAATTAATTAGTAAATAATTAAATGATGGGGATTACAAGGGGGAGCCGAATAGGGCAGCAGAGAAGAGTGGGGAGGTGAAATTTCAGCTCAATTTGGGTGACTCTGGAGGTTTGGTAGAGATTTGTCAGTGGAGTGAAGAGTTCATAAATTAAGAGGAGCCTGGTTTTTTATCCAGTCATGGGAATAATCTTTTCTAATGAGTTAAAATAAAACACTTTAAAAAGGCAAAGTGATGATTTGGTATTTCTGGTGGCCCTGGAGTGGTTCCTTTGAACAGTTCTAGTGCATTGGGCTAGAAGGAAGTTTTGGCAGGGCTGCTCTGATCAGACCTTGCTTCCGGCAGTGTGTCCCACAGCCCTCCTGGGCAGATTGGTTTGGAAAGAAAGAGTACCTGTCTAGAGAAGGTTCAGCTGCTTTTTGAGGTGAGATCAGGAGAAAAAAGCCTGGAAGGGCCAGAGGCCCTGCTTGTAGCTGGGCCCAAGGACTGTGGTCTGTAGACAGCCATGGCTCGGTGTACATCACTTCCTCCCTCCCTGACCCTGAGTCTGATCAGGGAGGCTCAGGGGTTAGGGCCTCAGATGGCAGATGATCAATGGCACTGACGGCCAGTGTGTGTCTTTAGAAAGGAAAAAGCAGAAGCAGAGGTTCAAATAGAGGCGCATGTCCTGTATGCCATGCTACACAGGCTAGGCCTCGGGTTTTCTTCTTTGGAGGTTTTCTTTTCATGATTATTTTTGCAAGATGCACCTGGGTGTGATGGAGGCAGCGCAGTTGTGTAATCATAGCTCTGTGGGAGGGGACATCCAAGCATCTCCCCAGGAGCATAAAAGCTCAGGGGACTTCATCTCAACCAACGGCCGGGCAGAATAGTAGATGCCTGTGACCCAGCTATGAGGGAAGCACGATGACCGGACACAGTCGGTCACACTGTCATTTCAGTGACAGAAGCGCAAAGCGGAGGCTCAGTCCAAGCAGGCCTAACGCAAAGGCCTTATCTTGAAAATAGCCAACGCCATGATGGACTGGCCGAGGAACTCAAGTGGTAGTAGGATGCCTGCTTAGCAAGAATGAGATCCTGAGTCCAAACAGCTGAGCGTTACCACGAAGGAAAAAACAAGAAGGGAGTTTGGATGCAAAAGTGAACTTCCAGGGTTAGATAAAGAGGCTTTTCCACTGCCTGTTCAATGGATACATTAGTCTGTTTGGTGTTACAGTGAGAACACCTAAGTAACTCACTTGGGAAAGGCATATAGCCTGTAAGGAGATTTATTTGGCTCGTGATTCTGGCGAGTAGCTTGTGGCTGTACCACAAAGAAGCAGGAAGAGTGTGGAAGTTGTTTTACTTGTATCAGACTCTCCACGGAACGTGGCGTCCTACACACAGCCTGTTGCGTCTCCTTTGTGCCGATGTCTGTTGAGCATCCTTTGACCTGCTTCTTTTTCCCTAAGAAACCAGGAGCAGCTGTGGCCTGTCATCTTTGAGGATTTTGGCTAGTCGTCTGGCCTGTTGGGAATTTATCCAGCCTGGGTTTCAGAAGTATTCAGAATCTTCTAGAAGAAGGCAGCCATGAAAGGGAACCAAGATTCTGAAAGAGTTGTGCAACGTGTCTGGTTCTGCCTAGACAACAAGATGAACTGGAAACAGCAAAGAAGCACATGTGTCGATGGTCAGTTTGTGTAATGCTTGGAGGCAGATCACATCCCGCGCTTCGCAGGCCTGGAAACGTTGCTTATACTAGAAAGATGAGGCCGCTTCAAGGAAGTGTCAGGAGGGCTCTGAATTTTGCAAGTCCCCAAAGATGGTGCTGCCCACACCACACTTCCTTACCAAGGCCCTGCTGAGGACCCAGGCCTGCCAGAGGTCAGCCCGAAGTCAAACAGGGCAGAAGGACACAGGGAGTCGGTTGAAGGGTTATTTACTTACATATTCTACTTTTCAGCATTTAGAGTACAACTTCACTAAGAGTACTCAAAGGCAGACATTTTTCTACAAGCAATGAAGCTAGTTTAGGTCCTATCAGTTTTTATTAATCTGTTTTTGTTTTGGTTTCCTTCTCTCACCTCTTTCCTAATTCGCTTTCTGACCCCCTATTACTGTATCCCTCTTTTTTTTTTTAACTTAAAATTCTGTTCTTCAACAAATCCAAAGGAGTCTTCTCTCACCCTTTCTCCTCCCCTCCATTCCCTTCCCTTCCCTTTCCTATTCTTCCTTCCCCTCCCTTTCCCTTTCCTTCTCTTCTCTTCTCCCTCCTTTTCCCTGTTCTTCTTCCCCGCCTTCCTTCCCCTTCCTTTCCTTTTTCTTCTCTTTCCCTCCCTCCTTTCCTCTTCCCCCTCCCTTCCCCTCCCTTTCTCTTTCCTTCTCTTCCCTTCCCCCTCCCCTCCCCTCCCTTAACTTCCTCCCCCCCTCCCCTCCCTCTGGCTCTCCTAATTTCCTGGGAGCACACCCCTCATGTTTACAGACCACCAGGTGTGACTCAAGCAAGAGGAGTTCAGCCTTGTACAGGGTGCAGGGTTTTAGCCCCAGTGGTCTGAAGGAGGTTAGGAAGGGACTTGTGTCCTGTGGGGATTGGCATGTGGTTGATTTGGGCCTGTTGAGTTATAGATAGAATCTGATGCTGTGGGATTCTGAGAACCAGCTAGGCCCTGGCTGCATTCCTGCCGCTCAGACAATTCCTCGGCCCAGAATATCTGGTTAGCCGAAGAGAGCATTCCCAAGGCAGCCCACCTGTTACACACAGGTAAAAACAGTCAACCTTCTCTGTCAGCTAAAAGAGAGCTGTGCGCAAGTGTGTGTGAGTGTCTTCCTACAGAATAGTATTGCTTCTCTCAGCAAAGTTACCCGCCCTCCGGGTTGGATTCAGTAACCAGGAACAGAGAAAGCCCAAATGTCCTGTCCTCTTGAGGCCCCAGTGATGCTCCTGTCAAGCAGCACGTGGCAGAGAGCAGACTCGAGAGAAGTAAGCCTGTGCTGGGAAGCCATCTGGGGAAACTCCTAGGCTCATTTGAATTGAACCAAGCTGAGACCTTAAGCGTTTCTTTCCAGTGAGATCCAAGCTGCACAATGACATCGTCTGAAGGCTGATGCTGGGTTGTGCAGGCACCGCGGCTCCTCGCCTAACAGCTGTCACCGCGGTCCAAGCTGCTCCAAAAGCCAGATAATTAACCGCTGTGTGCTTTGAAGTCCCCGCAAAGCCGCTTCCCACCGTGGTGCTTTCACAGCTTCTACAACTGCCGGGTGCTGGCTCCCGGTGTCCCCTACTGCCTTCGGATGCTGCGCTCCTTAGAAGTGCTCAAATCCTAACGCTGCCTCGTGAGATCTTCCAAGACAGGTGCTAGAAAATAATACTAAATAGCACTTCTTT